AGGAGTACTTCCTTTATAGCACTTGTAGTCTGTGTGTGCATTTTCTCTATTTAGCAGGGCTGCACAATCTGATAGGTATCCCGAATTTGTAAAGATACATGAAATTTTGTGATTTCTAAAAAGAAAATTTATTTTGTCTTTCTAGGTCAATGTTTTAAATGCAGATTTGAGCTACACCAGTGACAACTATGAATATGGATATGACAACAAGCTTGGAATTACAAGGTTGACATCAATGGCTGTATTAATATAAGTGAGTAGTGTACACAACTGGGTGAAAAAACATCAAAAGATTATTTAGAAAAATGTTTAAGCAAAATATCTTCATGTGTATTATGTGACGTCCTACTTTTTTAATTTTAATAAAGCTTACATTGTTTTATACAGTGTAACAATATAATATGATAATCTTCAAGGTTAGGCCTCAGAGAAGCTTGCTTTAAAATAAAATTTTTAAAAATTCCAATACTTGAAGCATATTCTATTTTGCTAGAAATATATTCAAACTACCTAATGATATTGTTATTGCTTTGGGGCTTTTTTAAAGGAATTATGGAATTCCTTTATGGTAACTGTAGCTACTGCAGTTGAATCTTTCCAACCGTATTTGCAAACATAGACACCAATCATTCAATTTCATTTTTTTCATGTTCTGTGTATCATTTGAGAAAGTTTTTGTGGGTTTTGTTTACTCATTTTACTTGAGAAATGGTTGCTATTTGCTTTAAATTAAGTATACACACATACCACCATATTTTTAAGTGAATAAAAATATTTTGGTCATCTAAGATTAACTCATAAAAGTGAGCAAAAATTACAACTCTAAAAATACCTTATTTGGGACCTTTTAGAAAGCAACAGAAACAATAGACTGCGACATAGAAGACTAACAAAACAATGTAAATACAGACTCTGCAATGTGAAATTTTTTTTATTTCAGGCAAAAAAAACCACAACCAGGAGGCCAGATAATATATTTGTTGAAAAGCAAAGAATAAAGAAAATTATAATAATAATAAAAAGAGCATCTCAGAAGCAAAGACTGCTAAATAATCAGATAATCAAATGTGAACTTTAACACCTTTTTTTTTATTGAATGTTCCTAATGTATTTCTATTAGGAAGAATATCACCAGACAAACACTCTTTAAAAAACTTGTACTTTGGCTGAAGGCTGAGACCAAGAAGAATTGTAGTTCTCATAGAAATTATTAGAAACTGCTTAAAATAATAAACAAATGTGGAAAGAATGAAAGTGAATGACTGATTTTCATGTATGTAAATGCATCTGCTTATAAGCTAAACAACAAAAATTATAGCTAACTTAAGTTGGTGAAAACTGAAGGTCTATTTTGAGGAATAAATCTTTCAGCAGTTCTGATGTTTCTTGTAAGGGATGTCTTCCTTTTTTGCTCTGACTCAGAGCAGATGGCACCACCTTTCGAACACACTAGTACAGCTAGTATCTTAAAGTAAGTGACACCACCACCAATCATCGAAGGCCCTGAAAATTTTGTTAAATAGGGCTTCAAATGATCCTAGAAAGCAAATTTCATATGAAAGCAAAACACAAAAATGTCATCCCTTCTGCTCTGGTCCAAATGTAAGAACCATGATGAGGAGAATATATTGTCTTTTTTAATTGGTGAGGATATCACTGTGCATGCCAAGCAGACACGAGGGACTGTAACACCACTTGTAACAGATGAATTACAGTCTTTCTTCAGATGAATTTTTCCAACCGTAAATGGAGAGAAGTGGGAGTGGAATATTAGTAGAGTACAAGTGGTTTCCCAAACCCCACAGGCAACACCAGAAGCCCTGGAGTCCTGAGTAATGCATCCATTGTAAATACAATGCTGTTAAACTGTGATTTAAAGTCTTTTCTAGTCCCCTTAGAGAAACTGGCCAGTATCTACAGGCTGATATTACAAATTTCATTTCCTATTCCCAGAAACTATTTAATCTTATAATACTTTCCATTAAACTTAGAAAAGGAAAAAAGGGAAAAGTCACTGTCCTGGCCCTATGACAACTGCAGCTGTGAATCTTTCCCTTTGCATTAATTTAGGAAACAGAAGAATCAGGAAGGGAATATCCTGACATTTTCAAATCTCAAAATGTAATTTCACTTCAGTTCCAAAGTGATAGGAAGTATTTCTATGTGCAGCATATGCATGTTAAAAGTAAGGCCACAGTCTGAAAGTCAGAGGAATATTATTATGTGGGGAGCCTTACAGTTAATTTGTTTAGCAAATCTCTGTATCCAAAATGATACTGAAGTCTCATTTGTACTTCTAGAAAAAGGACAGATTATAAATATAACACATTAGAACATGATACCATCCACAGTATATGTTAAGAGGAAGTTCAACAGATACGTTAATTAAGTAGGTAATGATCTCTCCTAGTAAGTAATATATTATTCTTTCTACAATTTACTTATACAGCACAAGATCACATTACATATTTTATAAAAAACAGTACATTTTTAAAGAAGGACATATCTTCTCTCATTACACATAATTGAAAAAAATAATCAAAATTCTGTTGTGATCAAACACCGAAAAAGTTTGAGGTCATGGCTGATTTAAGAGCATTGCTTTCATTGTGATTACTTATTTTTGGGTCACCTGTTTTTCATAGACCTGGAGAAACATTCTACATCTGATGTCTGGAAAACTGAGTAGATTGCCTCAAAAAACTCCAAGGCCCCTAATATAGTCCCTAATGTTTCTTTTTCTGTGCAATGATTACTCTTTCTCTCTTTACCTCGTGGAGAGAAAACTGCAATGATTCTTCTAGATCATTCCATGGAAGGTATGATCTCAGTTATGTAAAGTTTGCTTTTTTTTGTGTAGGACAAGAATGTAAGATTTGGAAATACAGATGGCATGCAAGAGGGCAACCTGCTACTTCTTTCACATGGTAATAAAAGGAATAAATGGAAATTTTGTTAAATGTTATGATTTGTAACGGTATTATTTTCCATGTTTAACAACTCTCCAGCAGGATAAGGCACAAATCTTTAGGTTTTTTCTCTCCTTTATTTTACTGATTACAATGCTGTTGCACTGCACGGAAGAGGAACTATCCTGAGATAGAATTATATCAATTGTTTTGATTCAGGTAGAGGTGAAGAGGAAATGTTAGGCTCAATGAGAGGTTAAAAGCTGAAAAGCAAAGTAAATAACTGAGAGGTTAGTTGTACTGAGCCCCATCCCAATGATCGCAGGCTGTATAGCTTAAAACTAACTTTGCTATATTTTTAATATATACACATCACAGCATAAGACAGTATAGGTGAGTGCTATTTAGAATTACATTCTAGTCCAAGGAAAATTAAATTCATTCTTTTAACATGTAATGCAATATCACCATATGTTCAAAGCTCAGATAATGTAGGCCACTCCAAAATTTTATCCCCTGTCAAGGCGAGAACGGGAAATTGTAATGGATTTTTGTTCAGATCAGAGCTGATTTTATAACCTATCCCACTAAATGGCATTACATTCACATGACCTGATTTTACATAACAGAGTTATCATAACACAACTCACTGAACACAGAACCTTCATTTTGCAGTAGCAGACAATATTTAGACCATCATTATTAACTGCTCTACGCAGATTTATATTTCCCTGTGTCAGTGAAATTAATTGTATTCTTCTTTCCTTTTAAAACATATTAAAAGAACCTGATTGCTTATTTGTATATCTGTGTTCCAAAATGACTCTTTAACTAAGATTGTACTGAAGCTTTCACCTGGAAGGTTGTTACAATCCTTCTGTTTTCGGATGGGTTTTTTAGTAAATGAGGTCTTTGAATTCATCTGTCAGTACTATCTAATAACCATCTGATCAGGTAGCTAGTTACAACAAGATATGACAAAAGTAGAGGTCTCAGAGATATCATGTTCCTGTATGTTTTGTAAAGGCTGGTGGCTAGAAAGGAGGGTAGGACTCAGATCAGTGCCAATGCGGCTTCGGGATCGACTTGCCCTGCAGAAGCCCTTGTCACCTTTCCATCACTCGGTAAGTCAGTCAGTTCATAGGTAGGTCTAAACATGCCACAACAAGTGGTTCCTAATATGACAGGCAAAGAATGTGTCATGAAATTGTTACGACTAGTATATTATTTCTCAGCTAGTTTTGAGGATTTGTTAGCCATTTAAAAAAATACCTGCCTCTTGCACAGGACAGCCAAAGAGTATTTTTTTACTTTTTTTCCTTTATCACTAAGCTAAAACTAGTGTCAGCTCTGAATTTTAGTTGACTGCTTCTGTTTACCCAATTTTGTGTTAACATTTGCTTGCATATTGTAGTGGGTTGACCCCGGCTGGATGCTGGGTACTTACTACAGCCAGTCTCTCACTACCCTATGCAACTGGACAGAGGAGAGAGAAAAAAACAATGAAGGATTCATGAGTTGAGATAAGAGATGGGATAGGTCACTGATCCACCATCACAGGCAAAAGAGACTCAACATGGATGTTAGTTGAATTTATTACAGGGTCAGAGAAAAAGAGTGAGAAGTAAAATAATCTTAAAAACACCTTCTCCCCAGCCTTTCTTCCTTCTGTGTTTTCCCTCCTCCCCCCAGAGGTGCAGGGGGTTGGGGAATGGGGGTTACGGTCAGTTGTTGTTTCTGCCACTGCTCAGGAAGAGGAGTCCTTCCCCTGCTCCCCTGGGATCCCTCCCACTGGAGACAGTCCTTGATGGATCTCTCCAGCCTGAGTCCATCCCTCAGGCAACCGGTATTCACAAACTACTGTGCTTTGGGTCACTCCTCCATGGGGTACAGTCCTTCATAAATGAGTTGTACCGACGTGGGTCCCCCACGGGGGCCATAAGTCCTACCTGGGAAAAACCCACTCTAGCATGGTCTCCTTTCTCCATAGGATGCCACGGTCTCTGTCCTGTCCTTCTCCACGCTCCTATCTCCAGCAGGACCCTGCTCTGTCTTGGGCCTCCCATGGGGTCACAACCTCCTTTGGATATCCATCTGCTCTAGCATGAGTTCCTCCGTGGGCTGCAGGTGGGTCTCTGCACCTCGGTACTCCATGGGCTGCAGGGGCACAGCTACTCCACCGTGGTCTGCACCACTTCTGCACTGACCTTGGTGTCTACGCTGTTGTTCACATGTTCTCACTCCGCTCTTCCCTGGCTGGAATTCTTTCTGCACCACAACCTTATGTTCTTAAATATGTTATGACAGAGGTGTTACTATCACTCCTAATTGGCTCGGCCTTGGCCAGTGACAGGAAGCCCATCCTGGAGTTGACTGGCATTGGTTCCACAGGACAGGGGAAGCCTCTAGCAGCTTCTAACAGAAGCCACCCCTGTAGCCCCTCCCTGCTACCAAAACCCAGCCACAGAAACCCACTACACGTATGTAAGAGTTTTGGGGTATTTTTTCAGGGTTTTTATTGGAAATTGTCTGGATTCCTGTGGACTACTAGTAGTTCAAGGTTCACCAGTTGCAAAACATTAATTCAGGAATCCTGGGGCATGGAAGGATGGGAGGTATCAGAAAAGAGGCTTTCAGGTCTGTAGAAAGACATAAGGAAACTAGTAAGCAGAATATAGAGGGGAAAAAATGTAATACTGGGTTAGTAAGAGATGAAAATCAGAAAATACAGATTCATGAGATTCATGAGAATTCTTCCATCCTGGTGTTTTAACACAATCTTTTAACATGGTTTTTAGCATTAAGGTTTGATTTAGGGAGGAACAGATCTTACTACTTTTGCCAATGAAGTTTCTAAATTTATTTTTTTTTTTTAATTTCTTACTAGATTTTTTAATTGGTCAGAACTCCACAGAATCTGCTCCAACTGATGCCAATGGCAGAATGCCTCTTGATGCTCATGGGAGCTGCACTGGACCAGCCTTGTATCCTTTCCACATGCTTACTGTTTTTCAGGTTTCCCTGGCCAAATATGATGCATCACTCTGCACATCTTAATTCTGTTGGTAAAAAAAGTAAATACATGTGACTATTTAAAATTAAGAATAAAATGGATTTTCCCTATCTCACTTTTTTGAGGCAATGCCAAGGCTAAAATTTCATTCTGAGTGTCTAAAAGGTTATGTGCAAGGTCCATACAGTAGGTTGGACAGTACACAACATTAATTTCTTATCACTGAAGTGTAACATTATTAATATGTGCTGAACATGGTGTCTGACAGAGAACACTGGCCACAGCCAGACAGCATGAAAGGTCCTTTAGAAAGAAAATGTTTAACAAATGTCCTTACTAAGCATTAAAGAATACTGAAGTAAAGAGGGTCTGTGCTGTGAGGTTAGTGGGAAAGGGACATTTTGGTGAAAAACAAGACTGGATCTACTGTTTTCCTCATATTATATGCCTAAACACATATCAGTTGGAAGATTTGCTTAATTTGAATGTTAATATCAATTACCAAAAACCACTTGGATCAAGTAAAATATTTTTCCTTCTCATGGTTGGTCTTGGATTAACATCCACTGCCTTAGAAATGTCCACCTAAAGTCTTGAAAAGAACAAGTCAGACAAAGGATTGAATTCACGTGTTACTTCTCCCCATTGTTTAAAAAGCCCACTAGACAACAAGTTAAAATAAATAAAGAAAGCAATCCGGAAGGGCATTTTAAGAGCTGGACAAGTCATTTGATAGTGTATGCTATAGTTTCTTTCTTTTCTGACCATGCCTAAATAATCTTGTGAATTTGCAGTTTAGGTAGCCCAAGTTGTCTAACAAAAGTACAGTTACTCATTAATAATTTGGATTTCAATGTGTGTGTGAAGAAAATGGCTCAACACAAGGCTTTTTGTACTAAAGCCATCTGTGACTCACAGTATCATCATGCATGATATGGGGTCATTGTGTGAAAGCAGTAGTGCATGAAAGGCCATGGAAATGGCATAGGAAAAGCCACTTCAGGATGCCAAGCACAGTTTCTGGGAATGCTAATGATATCAGGTTTGAAGAACAGTGATGTGCTTACAAATCCTACTGGTGTTGGAATCAGCTGTCTTTTCCATACTTAATATAGTTGTACATGAAATTTTGGTGCATTGTAATGACGTTATTAGCACGAGTTCTTTACTTGGGTATGAGAAAGATGTGAGTCATGCAGCTTCTCCAAAAGAGAGCAGAAGAAATGTTGATAGCACACTAATATGCATTCTGTATTCATGATATGTATTCCAGAAAAAATGTTGCTTTGAGGTATGGTAGGATGTCCTTAAGAATTATGTTGAACAGTTTTTTCTTATCTGTGTCTGCCCATCAGTATTTTGTAAACGAATATTGGAGTCCATTAAAATAACATATAGAACTCATTGATTTCAACAGTTCCACATTTTATCCTGTATGTTTTGAAGCATTTTATCCTGTAAGTCTCCCAAAGAGGAGACATAAACACATTTGAAACCTAAAATATATTTTATGCACAAAATTAATAATTTACATATAAATAAATATTGTCTTCTCCCATAGCCTTTTACCCATGAGTTTGAAGAACTTTGCAAGTCTGCATAAATATATTCATGAAAGTTTGACTGCAGATTATATAAAGATTCCTCCATTTTGACACAAATCAAATTAATCCTCTTTGAATCTTCACTGAAATGATGATGCTAGGCTAAATAAATCTCTTTGAATTCTCATTAACTGTTAGTACAGCTGATTCTTTGACTGGTTCATTAGCATGCTTGGTGGCATATGCTCAAAAAGAAGAAAAAGAAGGAAAAAAGAACCCTACAATTTAATACAAAACAGAACAAAGCTGTAGATTTCGGTCTTTGTCTTGTACACACTATAAGGTACATGGAGCAATGATCTAACTTAACCATTGCATGAGGTTCTTCTGAATTGCCATTCAAACTGTTTCTTAACTTTGACAAAGTATAACTTAATTACTCAGCTGCATATAGATTTTCATCTGTTAAACTCAGTTAAAACTATCGAGAAAAAAAGTGGTAATATATCAGTAGTATAATATTAATGAATAGATACCAGTCGCTAAATTTGCTTCTTTGCAATAGAAGAACATACTTCAGCTTTAATGATTCTTAGAAACAAAAGGAAAAGACATTTCTTTATCCCATGAACATCTCAGTGAGATAATTTTACATTCAACTTTCAAGAATGGGAAATCTCATCCAATCGCCTGTCAGTCACACAGATATGCTCAAATTATTATCTACTAAAGAAAACACATAATATGGATATAACAATACTATATTTAATAATCAATTATCCTCTGAGTAGCTATATAACTTAGATGAATTGTAATTGTATTTAACAGAACTCAGAAGAAAGAAATGCACAAGACCAAGAGGAAAATGGAACAATTAGCAGCCATTTTCCACGTTACATGTCAACAACAGTAAAACTGCACAAAGATTTAACATTCCATTTCCATGATCTAATATTGCTCCACAGAATGAGTTCAGTTCCTTGGCTTGTGGTAAAGGTGGGTGGAATTTCCAAGAGGTCTCCATTCACATAAAGACCCTGCACAGCCAGACTGAGCATCTGTGATTGAATGTGATGGGGTGCACCACACACACGAAGCACAACCACGGGCATCAAACTGCCTGAGTAGTCTTTTAGGAGAACAGAATATTTTATCTATCATTAATAAGTTTCACTTTAAGCATAATGCCTGCTATCATGTTTCTTGAATTTCATGAGCTAATCCAAGTTGCTTCTTCTTATTATACAACTGTACTTCAATACAATCCTAAAGACTACTTCAGGATGTTTCTTACAGCTTCCCAGTATTTATGAGTTGTCACAGAAAATCATTCCAAAGGCACATCTAGATGTAGAGAAGACCTAGGATTTATCAGCTCCTCCCAGCTCAAAGAGAGGAAAACTACTCATTGTAAGGATTTCTTCACTGTAAAGGGGAAAACCTAAAGTCCACACGGCAAATAACCTTGTGTTGTTATTCCTATTAATAGTATCTTGGAAAACAGCTACAGCTTTATGTTATTTTCCTTTTGGGATAACCAGAAAACTCCTTGTCCTCTCAGTTCCCAGAGCGATGCCCAGAATGATTGCTGGTAGAGATGGAGTTCAGTTCCCTTTCCTTCTGGGTACCCAGAAGGCTCCCTCTGTCCATTCATATCAGTGCTCATACTTCAAATACTTCTCATACAAGATACTGTCTTAGCTGAGATGAAAAGCCCAGGATAATGGGATAAAAGCTTTATTTCATGGATTTTTCCAACCATTCTGAAAGTTATGCATTAAGGAGTTGACTTTCTTTTCCTCTTTCTTTTTTATCCTTACCTCAGGGTAAAGTGAAGAACAGCAGCCACACTGAAGGGAAGTGAGAGCAGTGTACCAAGCTCTGTAGAAACAGAAAGGAAACAGTAGATCATTTCAACAAGAGTAGTATGTCTTGGCGTCATTCCTTGACACCACCCCCGTTATCCCAGCCTCCTCTGCCCCTCCCACACTCATGAATCTAAAAAGCAGATGGAAAATATTCTGCCAGAAGACATTGAAATACAGTGTTAGAAAGTTACTCTCTTAAGGCTGGAGAAAGTGATGGAGAACTCTGGCAGGCAAATCAAATTATTCATAGTCAGTGGCATTTTGGAAGGAAAAGCAGGAAGGGAATAAGAGACTGAAAGTTACAGGGATTATACGAGAGCCATCTGGGATGTGGGAAAAAGATGCACTTCAGCTTACTACACTTCAGAGAGAGATCTGTGGGGCTAATATTGAGTGAGGGAGACGTTACCAGTCTTCCCAGTTTGTTTCTGGAGCTGATCATACTCTAATGCTGCCATGACATTAGGGTTATGACAGAGCCAACACTGCCAAATCTATCTGCCCCAACTTGACTCTATATTCTACTGGCACTGAACAGTGATGCTCAGATACTGAAGTTACTGTAATTTGCTCAGCTACTGTGTCACTTTGTACACATACCAGTCTCATTTGGATTCTAAAGGTGTGACATGGAGAAGAGGTGCTAATCGGTGTCATTCTCAGTATTTCAGTGATGAAACTTTTCTTTAAAAAATATTTTTTTCCCAGTTCATGTTCCCTTATATCTCCAAAAGATTACAGGACCTGTTCTCACAAGAACTAAGCTACTCTACATTCAAATTAAAAGGTGCGATTTCTTGATATGTCTCACAAAGAAAACTGTATTGCATATTATAGAGTAATAACATCTATAAATTCATCCAGTTCCATCCCCTAACTCCTGCATGGGGATAGAAGGGAGGGATAGATGTGTGAGAGAGAATAGACTCCACAATCAGCGTTTTTGTGGGCATATTGACATGTCATAGTGATGAGGACAGGGGGTTAACTTGGAAAAGGTATTTTTCTGTTCTGTTACTTCTTCTGAATTTACACATACGATGTCACCAATGCATCTTCCATTAACAGGTCTATCTCACCATGTATGTCTTTGTACCAAAGATAATAGGAACCAGATGAAATTGGCCACTTAAATATATAGATGTACATAGTACATGCATGTACACATACAGACAGATGAGTTTAACCCCAATAACAGTGATCTTATTAACTGTCAGAGTTACATCAAGATAGCCTTGTATTTAGATTTAAATGCATATACCAAACTCTTCTGAAGTCTTCGCAAACACTTTCTCTTCTCTACCCTTTCTCTTGTCCACAATACCGTACGGTCAGTTGTATCGGGTTCTTCACTTGTCCAGCCCATGGAAATGAAGCAGTTGACATATGTTGCAGAAATATTCCAAGCATTGTAATTTTCCCATCCTCACAATCTTATATTGCAGTAAACCAGCTTTTTTGTTGGAATTTGCAAATAAAACAGCACCTGCCACAGTAATCTAATGACCTGAAGGAATTGTTACACAATGAAATGTTTCAGTATCTGATTACATGTTAGTATAACATTATTTTCAGCATTCAGATTATTTAGACCAATGGTTTTGGTTATAAATCACTTAATAAATTTTGGATACAAATGGAAAAATCATAAAGAAAACAACGATAATCACTATGAAGCACCAGAAAGGAATCAGTAGGGAAAAGGTACGTGGTTGTCAGTAGGAATGTTAGGCATGTGAGCCCATGTGTAGATAAACACCATGCAGATTTCTTGTTTAAACATTCTTCTTTTTAATTTTTGCCTGAGGGGCACTGAATTTCTCTCAAGACTGATGGTATAACTGTGTTTGCTACTTGAGGTAGTTCTTCCACAGGAAAACCATTCAAATTATCATTCCAAAATGATGTTCCATTAAAGCAAATATTGAATAGTATTTTCATTGTGAATTTGCACAAATATTTGCCAAAAGAAGTCTGAGCAGTATGCCTAAAAAAAAAAACCAAAACCTAGTAATTTCACAAGAATACAGATCTTTTAAAATATAAATTTCCTTTTGTTAATCCTAAAACAATAGTTTCTTGAGGTGGGAAAGAAAAACAAAACCAAAAAAATATTTAACACTCAAAAATCACAAGTGACCACAAGACTTTCAAGTAAGAATAAGTTTGTGATGTAAACACAGTTAGAAAGTAATATGCACCTAAATTTCCCAATTAATTTTTTGGATGAGTATCTGGGGAGTCAAAATTAGCTGTTGCTTAATTTATTACCAAAATATGAAATGCGTGCCTGTGCATTCTACTAAAACAACTTTAACACTCACTCATATAAACAGACATGTGTGGCATGCAAACACCATTTACACGTTGAATTAAAAATAATATTGTTTGACTGGCAGAATATATTTATAAACCCTATTAGTTCTTAATCTGTGTGCACATCTAGCATCTTTAACTGGTAGTCCATGCTTGGGACCTGCAAAGTAGTCTTTATGTCAGGGCACAGCTTCTATTCACCAATACAGAGAACATTGCAGGGTAAATCTTTCAACATGTTAATTTTTTTTTTGTCCTCAAAATATAATTTTCAGATAAATAACAAAAATTGTTTACTATGTTTGCAGTAGCATTATCTTGTATGAGGTAAGCAGAAGCTCTGGGTAGGCTGCCTAGCTGGAATTCTATGGAAGTTAAAAACATCACTAAAAAGGGCAAAGCTGGGCTTCTGCTTTCTGCTTGCCAAATTTTCTCCAAGTGGAATAAAAAGACGAAATTCTGCCAATGTGTGATAGGGGGATGGGCCTCTGAGGATGGATCCTGGGAGTTGATGGTCAAGACAAATCAAGACAAAAAAATCTGGTGAGAGTTGAAGGAAAAAGGTTTCTGGGGAAGAAAGATAAGACAGGATAAGCAGATGGTCTACCTGCTTAGGATGTCCGCAGCAAGTACCTGTGTTAGACATTGAGAAAGTGTCTCTGTGTGAGTATCTCTTCTTATCTCACTCCAAGTGGTCTCATAACCACAAAGCATGGGAACAACCTCAGAGGGTAGAGTGGTTTTGTGTCCTACATGCTGCCTAGACATCAGAGCAGCACTGTGCTGGATTATATTGCCAAGAGAACAACCCTAGAGGTGCCCTTCATTTTGATGACAGCAGGTTTGCTAGAAGGGCAAGACAGTGAGAATTTTAGGCTCACCTGGATGCCATTTTGCTTTACAGAAGTGGAGTGTCAGAGACAAGATTTTCCAAGTCACAATCAGGATGATTGATTCCTCTCTCATCAGAAGGTGCCCTCTGCTGAAAGAGTTGGGAGGAGCAAAAG